TTACAAAAAGGACTGCAGCTTCTCTCTTGCTCACTCTCTTTCGCTCGGAGACCTTGCTCTGAGGGTGGCCGTCTCCCACACTGGGAGTAACCCCACAGAGAGACCCCCCACAGCAAGGACTAAGGTCTCCACCACCAGCCTGTGAGGACTTGCCGGCCAGCAGCCCCAAGACTGATACTTCCCGAAGCGAGCTCCTGGCCCCAGTCGAGCCTTCAGATGACCACAGCCCCAGCCTCCTGAGAGACTCTGGGCCAGAGGACTAGCCAAGCCACATCCAATTCCTGAGCCACAGAAACTGAAACAATAAACGTGCTATTTCCAGCTGCTGTGTTTTGCAACGATAGGTCCCAAACACCGTGACCCTCTTCACACCAGCCTGTAAGTACTCGAGGTAGGCGCACTGTGGTCAGCCCTGCGCCTCCAGAGCTGTGCAGGGGCGGGTGGGGGTGCGGTCTCTGAGAGCCACAGGGTCAGACGGTGCCCACAGAGGGGACTCTTGGGGCAGCAGCCACAAGGAGAGAGGCCCGGGCTGGACGTGAGCTTGCACATCAGGGTACAGAGAGGCCCTGCAGAGTTGGCCTGGGCAGCAAGGGCCGGCAGCACGTGAGGAGCTGGGAGGGACAGGGCCGGGCAGGACTAGAATCTAGCAGCTTCTGGAATCCGAGTCACAACCCCTTTCCTCTCCAAGAGATGGGCTACGCACGGACACGGATGCTTTCTTCCAGGGCACAGCAAGCTGGAGCAAGGACAGCGCGGCCACAGAGTGCCCCCAGCCCGCCACTCCCCACGGCACCCTGATCACCTACCTCCAAATCCTCTCGTCTTCAGCTCCTCATCCCGGATGATGGCTGGTGTGATCCCCAGGTCTTTCCCAACTTTCTTAATCTCCTGGACATAGTCATGGAAACGTCAACACACAAACACGTGAAGATGCCTGAGACCGAGGCCAGCACCTCGGCCCTCGTGGCTCTGCCCAAGAAGGAGGCTTACACTCCATGCCCTAGACTTTCTGCCCACAAGCCGGGGTCTCTAAGGGCCCTGAAGAGGGATCGGCCCCCCATACCCTCCGCCAGAGCTGGAGGGACCTCCCTAGAAGCAACCCCAAGCAAGATATGCAGTGTGGGCCCTGTAAGGGCCCAGCTCTCCCTCCCCCCACCAAATCCCTTCTGGCACTCCTCAGGGTCTCCTGACAGGCGTCCCAGCCTGTCCCCCCCACCCTCCCGCGGCGTGACGGGCCACAGACCTCAAGGAAAGTGTCTGTGTTCATCTCATTGCAGGGCGTGTCCACGATCCGGGCTGCCAGCCGCACACCTTCCGTGGCGTTTACTAGGCACTAGAAAGATGGGGCCACAGGTGGTTCCTGGGACCTCGTCCCCTCCTTGTCTATTGCCCCAGGAACCTAACAACACACCAGAGGCCCACGCTGCCCAGGGAGGCCAGGGAGAGAGGGGCTGGTACACGGGAACCGGACTCACAGCCGCAGCCCGCTCCCCCGCGGCCATAACCCACCAGCTCATCTACAGAAAGGAAGCTGGGATGGCTGCCCACCACCTCCAAATCACACAGGAACACTGGGCCCGCCTTCCGTCCCAAGCTGCATTTCCCACTGCCCTCCATCTCAGCTAGCTTGAAGGGAGCTGCCCTCGTGCCCGCTGAGCACAGGTGACACTGTCCCTCCTCTACAGCCATAGATCCCAGCCATCCTTCAAGGCCAGATCCTCCCCATCAAGCACAAGCCTGCCACGCCGAGCCCTGGCGCCAAGCCTTGGGTCCCCTGGGGAGGAGGTAGCCTTCTCCAGTGAGTCCCCCGTAAGCCGACAGACTCCTTGAGGGATATGGGGCCTGGCTACCATGCTGTCCTCATCCCTGGGCCCAGCCCTGCTCCGGGTGCCCAGGGCAGAGGGAAGAACACAGAAGAAAGCCCCTGCCCCGTGAAGCCGACATACCGGTCACGCTAACCAGCATCCAGAGGAGCAGAGCTAGACATGTGGGCAGCTCCGCACCTGCCGGGTTTCAGAGCCAGCAGCCAGAGGGCCAGCTCTGAGAGGGGCCTGTGCCCAAGGGCGAGTGTCATAGTGTACCCTGGAAACACCTCCCAGAGAGCCCCAAGCTTCCTTGCTGAGGCCCTGACCCAGGTCCTCGCCCCTCACCCTGCTCCGCCGCACTCCTGCTGGGTCCTCGCCCCTCACCCTGCTCCGCCGCACTCCTGCTGGGTCTGAGCCCCTCACCCTGCTCCGCC